GACCGGATGAAGGCACGCTATGATCGCCTGGCAAACTCGGCTGGCTTCCAGGAGGGAGATCGCGTGTGGTTGTATCATCCTACCCGGACAAAAGGGAAGTCTCCCAAGCTACAAACATCTTGGGAGGGCCCCTACAGGGTGGTGACCAGAATCAACGACGTGGTTTATCGGATTCAGCGGCATACCCGGGCCCGGATGATGGTAGTCCACCTGGACAGGTTGGCGCCGTATTCGGGTGCTGCTCGGGACGAGCAGCTTTCAGGAGGGGCTAGTGTGATGTGTTGGGGTTGGCAGGTGGTAGAAATTGTGGGCTTTAAAGAGTAAAATGATCACACAGATCTCCAAGAAACATGTGCCAAGCAAGTAGTGAATTAGGAAAGGACATGAGGTGGTTTTGTAATTTCTTGAAAAGGAAGCTGGAAAATAACATTTTAAATGAAAGAAATGGAAATATTTATTTGGCTGCGATATATATCAATGTGGGCATGGCAATACAGTTTCACATTTTAACTGAACGCCATTCTCCATCACATACCTCGTAGCAATAGGTTGTTGCAGAAAATAACGGAAAGGTGAGGTCCTAGATATATGTAACAACAGATTTTACTGTAATACTTGCCTGTAACAATGGGCTGGACACCACTTGCAAGACAAAGTCCTCCAAAACGATTATTAAATATCTGGTTCACTTCTAATGTTGCAGTGGCGTTATTAGTAATTTCTACTCCTGCTGCTAGTCCATCAAATATCCGGTTCCGCCTGAGAATGGGATGACTCTGTGTAGATATAAGAACTCCAGCCTGTGCATTACGGAAGATGTCGTTCTCTTCCAAGATACCTTGATAACACAAAAGAGTAAGTAGAAGTGGAAAGAAATGTGACTGCAGTGAACCAACTGTAATAATAGTTTTTCTCAATACATTATTTTAATTACCTTTGCCACCATTGAAGATACATATACCTCCATCCCTGCCATCAAAAATTTTGTTCCGTTTAAGTGTTGGATTAGAATCTGTTTTGATCCAAACACCTGCCATTGCATTGTCAAAGATCTCATTCTGCTCAAGGAGTCCCAAGCCGCCATTATAGACCAAGACGCCACCATTCTGACCGCCCCAAATTTTATTACCTCTGATTATTGGATTGCTGCCAGTTCTGAAAGTAAAGAACAAATATTCCCTTCTGTTAACGTCAATAAATCATACAACATTCACCATCATAAGTAGTGATGTGCGAACAGAATTTTTTAAGTTCAGACGAGTTCAAACTGAACAGTATTAAAATTCTGAAGTTTCAAGTCAAGTTCATGTAAAAAATCACCTTGACACCAAACAATACACTTCACTAGATATACAGTATATAGCAGTTTCCTAAAAATTTAGAAATTTTTGCTACCAACTAGGCCTACATAAGTCATTTGAACAAACCTTCAAAAACTTTTTCTGTAACAATATATCACTTTAATTATCACAACCACATTCATGCACACAATTTAATGATTGGCATAACTTTTTAGGAACAATTAAGAATTCAAATTCGTGGTAAGAGATCCATTTAAATAAACTAGATACATAAGTGTCTTGTTTAAAAACTCGTACTATACTTCATGTTGTGGTGAAGATGCACCAGTTACTCCACGTGTTTGAGGTTCACATTTGCTCTAAGTACAGTCACAGTGGTTCCTGCAAACAGAAAACTCTCTCACTAGCAACTTGTGTGTCTGGTATGGGCAAATAATGTTGAGCCAGAGGTTGAAGATAGTGGTACTGCCAGGCATTGTCTTTCCACTATACACAAGGGTCTTCATGCCTAGGAAGAACAGGCTCCAGTTAAGTATTTGCTGATCTGTTCCTGGACATTTTCAGTAGGTTTGTTCATTTTGGCAAGTATGTCAAAAGAACTTCACAGTGAGCAGGATGGTTCAGAGCTTTCTCAACTTCTTCCTCTTGTGACTGTGGATCTGGAATATGTTCATTGACTTCTTTCTCAATTAAATTAATTGCCAACTTGACCTCATCTTCTGTCACCAGTATGGCTTTAAATCTAGGATCCATAAACACGACTGGAGCATTTGGTTTTATTTTCCTATAATTGGGAAAACGAGCTTTGAAAGCTTTTAGGAACTGTTTTGCTAATGCCAAGCCACTCCCTTTTCCTGTAGATTTTATGTAATTGTCCAGCAGGGCTTGTATGCTGATTAATAGAGGAATTACCACGGAGAGGACTGGATATGATTCTCCACTTAACTCTATGCATGCTTGGTCGTAGGTTGTAAATATTGACCATTTCACTTACTATCTGCCCTTCAGCTTAATCAAAACATTCCACCTTGCCACTCTCAGCTAACTCAGCAGAAACTGGTCCAATCTGTTCATCAAGTCTACTAAACATGTGATACTCTTCCATCGAGTATCACCATCCTAAATGAGACTGTGTTCAGGTTTTCCCATCTTCTTTTGCATACGAACAAGTTTTTCTCATGCTTGAACACTACAACGATAATGCACTATAATTGACCATGCTTTTTGGCAGAGATCATTGAAGTCTGGAGTCAATTTCTTTGCTGCATTTATGGCCAGTTGCATTGTGTGGGCAAGACAGGGTATAGAAATCCATTCTGTTGCAGTGTGTGCTGATACCATGTATCTGGCATTATAAGTAACAATGCATATTGGTACTGTATATACTTCTAAGTTCCTTTCCCCTAAAACAGTTTCTGGTTTTTCGTATACTACACATGGAATATATTTCAGGTATAACACTTCAAAAGAATACAGTTCTTGAAGGAACGTGATAGCTAGGTCCCACTGTATGCAGCAACTCTTGGAATCCTGTCTTCCGCCACTGAATATGGCTGATAATCCAATACTATAACTTTCCAATAGCCATGGTAATTAATTGCTTTTGCTTGAGGTCCAGGATTCATTTTCACTACTTTCATAAAGCTACTGCCTTGTCAGCTGTTCTGAAGTTTGTTTAGTTGTTCCCTTTTTACTGGTCTTTTTTTTTTGCTTCCAGTATTATCTATTCTAATGTGGATGCTTGGCCAAATGTCGAACCAGTGTTGCGCTTCCAGTAGTCATTTTGAGCAAACGTTCATCGCACACGTTGCACTGTGCATCACTGTTTGATGTTTTGGTAAAAAAATTCCACACAAGTGTACCTTTCTGGGTTTCTTCAGTCACTGAATATTTAGAAATTTTTAATTTTATCAATTAATGGGGTAATAATATTATTGAAAAATAGTTATTCCACAGATTACTAAGCTTGTTACACGGCAAAAGAAATAATAATAATTGCTAGTAACACATAACAGTTCACAACTTCCTTAACAATAACAATAGCACACACTTCACATAACTTTTAAGGAGGCAAAAATTACAAGCACAGTGCAACAGTGAAAAAAGTCTCGCTTTTAGTGCTCGTTAGGAGTGATATATAGTCTTGTTTTATTATGACATGTTCGGATTCCTATTTCTACAGAGTAGTTCGATTAAACACATTTTTGTTTTGCTTAAAGAGTTTGATTTTAGAGATGACAAACCATAAACATGAGATCAGCCAAATGGTGCACTGCACGTTATGAGCTGATGCTCATAAATGATAACAAAACCAGAACAAAGTTCAACAAGCAAAAAACATTACATTGGAGTTGATTGTGGTCTGTTGCAGATGGTTACAGATAATGCAGTAATATATAATATCCAACTTGAACCATGAAGATGGAGGGAATATGTTACATGATATTGGGAATCCCTGAATTGAGGACCCCCCCCCCCCCAAAAAAAAAAAAGGCAGTCAGAAAGGTGTTATTTTGAATATGGAATAAGCCGCTAACTGCTACAATATAAATTATTACCAGCTCGTTTTTTACGTGCCTGTAATGTAATTTTTTAATTGTGTTATACAAATTCTGCCTGGGAAATTTTTCAGTCTTCTGAATATTAAAAGTTAAATTCTGGTATAAAGCAAAGTGAAAGTGTAATTTTGTAGTTGGAAGAATGTACTGCTAGCTTACAAAATAAGATTAATAAAAATCTATAAATATAGCCTGAATATCATTTAAAATTTTACAGGCCTATTTAAAATGAAGCAGTAACAACAAGAATTATATGAGAATTTTTTTATCAAATCAATAAGTGCAACCATTATTAAATTTAATAAAACTGTTTCAGCAGGGGTGAAGTTTTCTTCACGTGCACAGGAAGGCTATGATCCTGTTCTCCAAATAGTAGGCTGCACACGTGTCTACGCTTTGTCAGCTCTCAAGTATAATTCTTTCAACTATGACAATTTCTGCAATATTTTGGTCCAACTAATTTAGTGTTTCTAAAATCATGAGAACACTCATAATCATTGTTCCAAAATAACTGTACACTTTGCAGTTGAACATTATACAGGCTAAGCAGAGAAGAACTTTACACTTTAAAATAATACAGAAAACAAATGCAGCATACTTCACACCCACACCAGTTGATAGAAAAACTCTCGTAGTTTTGTTTCAAATTACCCAGGTGACTGCCGCTACTGCATATTTTTGCTAGAAGCCACTAGTCTGAAAATGGCTAGCCCACAACAGAGTTGGTGTGTTTTGCAGTTAGTGAAGAAAGAGCGAACAGCTGTGCAACATGCATTTTGCACACAATTTCACAAGGATACACACAGCCAAGTATCCAATTATGCTGCAATGTTTGTCAGAGTTAAGACAGAAAATCTCAACTGCCAGACCGTCCGTCAGTAGGGACACTGCACAAAGTTTGGGATGAGTTGGATCATCTTCTCGGCACCTGCTGTGTGACTTGCAGAGCAAACATTAATTCTCTATGAGGTGCATACAAAACTTCAAGAGTCTTTATATCAACTGGTGTAGGTGTGAGGTTCTAAGTATGCTGCATTTGTTTTCCGTACATTTTGAGAGTGTAAAGTTCTTTTGTGCTCACCTGGTATTTAATCCTGCTTGTCACATGGAACTGACACCCCCCCCCCCATGCTCATTATTACTTCACATTAGCAATCCTAAGCTATTAATTGAGATAACTGTTACAACATTCTACTAGATTTGTTTCGGTGTTGTTAGGTACCATCCTTAAATGTAAGTTGTGATTACTTTATACAAATATAATTATGAAACATTAATTAAAAAAGACTTTCCCATTAGTAAATGCATTACCTTATTTGAACACCAGAATACAGATGATTGAAGATGTCATTATCTTCCAGTTTCCCATGTCCATTATCATAGAAATATACGCCAACCTGCTTTCCTGAATGGATCCGATTTCGCCGCAGGACAGGCGTGCTACCAGTAGTAATCCATACACCAGCTAGTGTGTTGGCATATACTTCATTTTCTTCTATTAGACCTTGGCCCTTTTCATGTACATAAATACCACCATGCTGACCGTGGTGGATCTTGTTGTGACGCACAATTGGATCACTGTTTGTTCTAATCTGTATTCCTGCTAATGCATTTCCTGAAGTACAACCAATACTCAGTAATTATCCCCATTCAAGAAAATATTCCACATATATAACAGCCTGTACTAACTTCAGAATGTTTGTAACTGGAGTGTTTCATATTAATACAACATTCTTAAAACAAAATTAACAAATGATGAAGACAGACATAATGAATTCAATGCAAAAACTAAAACACATTTCTAAACACTACTATCACATATGCATAAATGGAGCATACATGCATAAACAATGGTGATAAATTGCCATAATTTAAAACTACCTTTCTGGTACAAATGACTGGTCTATGAGAGAACTAGGTTATTTTGGAATACTCAAAAACAGCCAAACTCATCAGCACAGGATACCTTTGGCAGTGAAAAGTGTCACATCCTGAAAATCTGACTACAAATTACCATATTCTACTTCTAAAACAAACACTTCATATAACTCATATTTGATGGTTTGTTAATATATTCTCATCTCATGTTAAGATTTCTTTTCCTAGCACTGTAACTAAAAACAGAGAGAACTATAAGAGACAATTCAGATCACAAGTAATAGCAATCATCAGTATAATGAACAACAATATGAAGAGAGAAGAAGTCAATTCCCCAAATTCCGCGTATATGAAATATGTCTCAGGCAAGACAATGTCCAACATAATATTCATATATCTGTATAACTGTATGTGTCCATTATATGTAATCTGAAAGTAATTTAAACAACTACAGCCAAGGTACCTTGCAGCAACTACAACTAAAATAAAATGCACTTGCACAATGATGAAATGCCACATAATATCCAGCATAAAGATTCTTTAACAGAATCACTGAATCTTGATGAACATCATAGTCTCAGCAGCCTTGATTGTCTGAACTGGCTGGCTGGCACTACTATTTAGTTTCTTCATACTACAGTCACACTCAGATTCAGGTTTCACTGCCAAAATAGGGGCATTTAAAAATATAACTGAGAATATGGTATACTGAGGAATTTAAATCCTCTCACTGAAATGTTAATGATCCCTTTGTATAAGAATATTTTCTTGATATAGGCTTATCACAACATGCTCTCCACATGAAATTGTTTCAGTTGTTTCAGCCAAATTTCACAAGTTAAAATATAAAAACAAATAATACATTTATATTAATACTGTTCCCTCTTCCCCTAGTGACAAAACTGTGGAGTGTTCTTCTAGTAATTGACCTGATAAGAGTCAAATCCTAATGAATGCACCAAAATTCTCATACTGCATATATTTCCTAACTTGTTAAATTACACTGCACCATCACATAATGTGTACCATTATAGTGTGACATTCTGCATCTTGAACCTCAAATTCTGATAAGACTTTGTGTTCATAAAAAATCCTTGTGATAACATTTATGTAACAGGGACACCTTAGATCAATGTTAAAGGGAGTCACAGCATCACCACCATATCACACTCTGTATTTTATTGTGAACTGAGAGTGAATTGTACATTCTTATAATAAAACAGATTCCAACAGGTAAAAATGGTGTAGCTCAGTCATTCTTGTAAAGGACTTAAAATCTACTTACCATAAATATTATTATGTTCAATTAGTCCCCGCCCTTCTCCAAATATATACACTCCACCTTGATGGCCATTGTATATCTCATTGCGTCGAATGGTAGGATTGCTATTTGAAGTAATCCACACTCCAGCAAAATTATTAGAATGAATCTTGTTGTCAATGAACTGACCCAAGCCATTTTCATGAACATATATACCACCTGTCTGCCCATGATGAATTTCACAGTGCACAACTGTAGGGTTGGCACCTGCTTTCACTTCAAAGCCAGCAATTCGGTTGTTGTGAATGTCATTGGCTTCAAAGTAGCCCTGTTAAAACAATAATTCACCAAAAGTACTTAACATAAAATAAAATATGAATGTTCTGACTTATCAGGTCAGAGTCTGTGGACAAATAGCAACAAGACAATGTCTACTTTCATGCTAAATTTATGTAAAAAACATAAATACTTGTATAATTCAGTGCACTTGCCACAGGTCTAGTGTGGACAGCACAAGGACAATTCCATCACATCACAAAAATTATCACAACTCGTTAGGCTGTCGAGCCCTAATGACAGCATCTACAAAAGAAATTACAGAAATTCTTCTCACCAGTCCATTATCAAAGGTGAAGATGCCCACATCTCTACCATGATGAATGTGATTCCTCCTCATAATGGGGTTGGCAAAGTTCTTGACCCAGATTCCTGCCAGAGCGTTGCGGCTTATCTCATTGTCTTCGTATGTGCCTTGTGCATAATCTGTTACATACAGTCCCACATTCTCACAGTCACTTATGTCACAATGCCTCACTACTGGATTTGCTCCCACGCCACTTACGCACACAGCAGCACCAACTGTAAAGTAAGAGTGCTCCTTTGCAGTCTCACCAATATGTAGCAATTAACTTACAGACTTGATAATGAAGAGTTCTTTTACAGAAGGTAAGCCACTGAACAGCTTCAGATATTCCCTACCTTTTATGGAATCTTAAAGTCCATTACCATATCAGAAGAGCATGTCAATGGGCATTACACAGACCTGCATCAATCCAGTTCACACCTTACAGCCATTATCTTTAAGATGAATTTTAATATCATCAATTCTATGTAAGGTCTCCCAAGAGGCATCTTCCCTTCTGGTTTACCAATTAAAATTTTATATGAAATTCTCATCTCTCCCACATGTGCCCCATGCATCTCACACTCCTTGGCTTGAACACCCTGATATTTGGTGAAATAAATTGTAAAGCCCCTCATTATGTAATGTTATCCTTCCTCCACTGATTTAATCCCTCTTAGGTCTAAATATTTTCTGTCTGGCCGGGTCACCCCGCTACGGTAACCAAGTAGACCGTACAGCCAGCAACTCGACGCTGAGTGTCGGGTGGCAGGAAATAATGAGACTCCCTAAGGGGGCCAACGGCTTTGGGCGGAGGAGCCCATTTAGGTGGGGTGATGGTCCCCTCAGTGGAGGAAATGCCACTGAAATCCATCATGTAGTGTCTGTTCTCCAGGTTAGGGGGCGGCTGCAAAAGGCGTCTGCTCTCCATGTTAGGGGTGGCCTAAAAGAAACCTTGAGGAAAGCAACGGGAAACTACCTCAAGATTTTCTTTCCCAAGAAAACCCATCATGGAACGTGTCTAATGCTGGGTCACCAACTTTCAACATTGAAAGCTGGACTGATGATGATGAGGTCTTAATATTACCCTCAGTACTCTGTTCTCTATTTACTCTTTTATGATGAAAAATCAAACTGTCAAATAAAATATCAAAGCACAAGAAAATGGGTAGCACTTCACAGCAGTGGATCAACTTTGATAGCACCACGATGGGCTGTTGGGGTTGTTGGCCCACACCCAACCTTGAGCAACCCTTGTCAGCTGTCTCCACCATCCACAACCTGAAGATGAGCTATATTAAATATGTAAGCACACAATTTCTCAAGAAGGCAAACAGCTTATGTTTACATAAAAGGACAGGAATGAATAAAGTGGACTGGATGCAGCTACCACAGGATAAGAGTCTGGTGACGGCTTTTGTAAACACGGTGAACGGGTTCCATAAAGAAAGTGGGCTATTCTTTGACATGCTGAGTATACAATTGACTTTTCAAAGATTGTCCTGCACCTTAGAGTGAGTGAGTAAATTTTCAGTTCAAATAATACTTACTTAAACATGCTAAGAAACAAGTACAATACTTTTTCAATATTACATAACAATAGATAATTACAAAAGAATTTTGTTTACAAACTATTACCTTAAAATGTTAATACTATGCACTTTTACTGATATGTTTAAAGAATTCTAATCTGTGGGGAACTAAACGGCAGCCTGCATTATTCCCACACGCTACGTCAAGCAAGGCAGATAACTGTCTAAATCACTCACGCCTGTAACAATGTCATCACCCAGTTGCCCAATCCAGTTCCATACATCAGACTTGTCAGATTAGAAGTTACACTAACCTTACTTCACTCACTCATGTAATATCAAGCCATCCACATCACCCAAGGTTTCAACACTAGAAATATCAGATCAGCAAATGAAAAACTCAAATGAAACTCAGCATAAATTCTAAATTTATCTATGCTTTTGCAAACCCATTACCAAGAAATGGCCATATGATATATTTATACAGTGACAGTGCTAAGAGGAAACTTAAAAAGAAATTGCAACTGATACAAGATTTTAAATTGTAACACTACAATCTAAACTCATGCTGCTACGCAAACTTCAAAGTCAATGTGAATTATGATTGCTAATTTAGGTCGACAGGCTATTCCAAATTATCTGTACTTTAGTATAAATTAAAAAATCATCAAACTTTGTTCATGGCAACTTTCAAAAGAACATTTTTTGTATTCTGAATGTTTTGGATTTGCACTCCTTCATCCTGGCATGAACAAATTATTATAATATCCATCTGCAGCAAAAAGATGTTGAATACAGAAAAACAAGATTAAATGGTAAACATCATCATCCAGTTACTAACTGGGATTCTTCTACTGCATTGTAAAAATCATAAATAAAGATGGTAATTTTATGTTACAATGTAGTAAACTCATCTGAACATTTCTGGATTCTAATAAACGCTAATGATATGAACGTGAATTCTGTAATTTAATGTTTCTGAATAGAGAAATTATTTTCTGCATTCTTGCAAGTAAGTTGTAACTGTAAGGAAAAGTTGTCAGTGGAACCACGGTTCCGGAGAATTTGACGTAAATACGTCTATACGGAAAGGAAGTTTATATACAGTGAAACCTCTATCCATCGTTCCCGGAACTATCGTTTTCCCGGATGCATCGTCCGTTTTGTTCGGTCCCGAATACATCCCATATAAAATAATGTTACATTTTCCCGCTTCTATCGTTCCTCGAACTATCGTTTTATCGCATCGATCGTTCAAAAATCGTAGTCCCGGCCCACAATTTTCCCGCAATGATCGTTCCTGAGAATTTAAAATGCTGGGTTTAGAGATAAATTAATACCGAAAGACGCACAATGTTTTTGGAATAAACAGTAGCGGTAACCTGTTATGTCGCCCAACCAGCACATTCTTTTGGAATGAGGGTCAGCGGTGCAGGGGTGATAGTTGGAGTGAATGGCGGTGCTCATTGTCAGAAATTTTACGATTTTAATTAGGGTGCACTCATATTTCGTTCCAGCGATGCCAGATGGCATGTGCAGTGTGAATTTCTTCACAAATGCTTTTATTACAAGGACAAAGGAAAGGC